TCTCTCTCTCTCTCTCTCTCTCTCTTCGTACCCCTCCGCTTCTCTAACCCTATGCTGCCATTCTCTCCATCTGGTCCGCGTTTCTACCCTCCCCCTCCTGCTCTAGCCTGACCCTGGCTCCGACACTGACCCCCCCGCTCTCTCTTTCCCGACCTCGAGCTCGAACACCAAACCCAGCACTCCGTCTCTTTCTCCCCACTCGGATTCCGACACCATTAATCTGTCTCTCTCTCTCACCCTCTCTCTCCGCTCCCCTACCCCTCCACTCCCCTATCCCTCCGCTGCCATCCTCCCTTAGGCTATCCCCTCCGCGTTTTTTCCCCTCCCCCTCCTTCGCCTTTAGCATCTCCCCCTTCTCTTCGTGCCCCCCATCCCGCGCGTCCTTCCCCCTACTGGCAAGCACATAACTTGTCGGCCTCGCCTTTCCCCCAACCCCCCTCCCCCTCCCATGCCGAATTTTTCAATAAAGAAAAAAAAAACAAAAGATACACCCACCCTCCCATTGGAACACCGCAAGAATTCAGTCCAAGTGCAGTAGCTCGGAATACGGACCGTTTTAGTGTGACGAAAAATAGGAGTCGGACGTTAGCCTCTCACACCGGATTAGCAAGTTCAAGTGCCCGGTAGGAGTGTTCCAAGACCAGTCCTCAACGGGGTAATTGACTCGTATCACCAACAGCTTCGTTGTATTTGGTACTCCGGCGTCCTTCGCCGCATAGCTTCCTTACCTATCTAGCACCCAAAGCATCCTGGCCGCTTTCAGTGGCTAGGATACAGGTTTTCAAGCAAACAATACACAGTAACACAAGGGGGAACGGACGGCTGCGGGCTTCATACAGACACTATCCACGGAAGACTGTTCGACAAGACGGCAACAAGAGATGTTCCGGGAGTTGATATTTTCGCACGCCAACTGGACGGGTCCCAACTGACTCAGGTATAATTCTTTCCTCTTCGGAACCTCCTCACGAACACGAAATAGAAAAGGCAAATCACCTCAATCTGCACTAAGAGTGGTTGATACTGCTGTATTCTTCGCTCTCCATTCGAAAGTCATTACCCGCACTTGTGCTCTTAGTAAGCTATGGATGGAGGAGCAGATTTCGGAATGGAAGACAATGCCCAAACAGAAGAATTTTCTGACGAAGAGAAAGTCAGAATATGGAATCTCTTCGATGACTGCTACAGACAGAGAATCCTTCCCTCTGGGCTTTGTACTGCCCAATTCACAAAAGTGATAAGAGAACCAGACCGTGTCAGATTGAAAATTGACCCAAGGATCTACGAGATCCAAGCCCGTTGGTTAAGGGAGCACGTCGTCATGGTCTTTTTCGGCGAGGCTGCCGTGAATTTATCATTGGACATAAAACGTTGTTCAATCCGTTCTTACGAGAACGGATGGATCGGTATGCCCATGCTGGGGCCCGAACCCAAACGAGGCTTTTTCATAAATGAGGGCAAGAACCTCATTTCCTACGTGGCAAGCACGAAAGAAGTGGCTGAATGGATGTTGCGTCTGGAGACAGATGAAATAATACTAGACGGTAAGAGGCACACCATGCACTTCAAACCTTGGATGTCTGAGAGTGAACTCAAGGAGTGAAGGGAGAAAATGAAAATCGATCCCTTCTGGGTGAGATGCCTTCGGATTCCTTTAGCTGCACTACCGATGCCCAGAGATGCTGTTGAACTGGCCTTTGGGAAAGTAATTAAAGAAAACCCTGTCTCAAAAAAGCCAGAAGAATCAGAACTTGTAAGCGTGAGGTTCGACCTGGAACCAGCTGCCAAAGAATTCTACACAAGGTATTTAACGGTTGATTTGCCTCATAACGGTGGTACAGTTGAGGTCGAAGTAGCCGCCCCGGATACGCCTTGGTGCTCAGAGTGTAAAGGTTTCTTTCATTATGAATTTGATGACGAATGTCCCGCAAGGAACTGGAACCAGAATAGGCAGTCAGAAGACAGACAGTTCTGGAGAGTCCCAACCCCCCCCCTTCCCCTCCACCCCCCCCTCCCCCTCCTCTCCCTCCCCCTCCCGCTGGTGCAGGTGCAGGCGGCCAACGCCTGGGGGGAAATTCGGGCTGGTCACAGCAACTGCAACAGCGAAGGGGGCCGGGGAGCCAGGGTGGGCGGGGGGGAGGGGAGCGGTACCAGAACCAGAACCATCACCCTCCACACCAGGAAGAACTGCGTGGGAGCCAGGGGGGTAGCAGATTGAGCCTCCGATCCCCTCTGCCCTCTCAACATGGAAGGTCGAATGAAAGATCCCGGGACCCTGAATACGACCACCCGTACGACAGACTGTCCCAGCAGGATGTGCGAAGGAGCAGGGTGAGTGGAGCTTCGTTATCAGGCTTGGAGAACTCCGCGCTTTACTTCAGACGCAGGCCAGAGGGAGACAAGCACAGGAGCGAACACGTCTTCTCCTCCAGGTATGATAATGCGGTGTTTTCTTGAGGGAACAAGTCCCTCATCCCGTWTGATGACTGGCAACAGCCAGGATCGTCAGGAGGTCCCAGTTCGAGAGGCTGGAACGTTGGCCTGTCTCACTGGGACCCCTACTCGGTACCACAACAGCCATTGCAGATCACAGCGGGTTCGGACACAGAAGTCGAACCCAGGGAGAACATGCAGGCTGGCACCAGGGATTTGCCAACCTCACTCCCAGGTAACGATTCCAGTGGTGACAAACTACAGTTAGATTCCTCATCTCGAAAGAAGGCCAAGACCAATGGAAACACCGAAGCGAAAGTCCCCACAAAGACGCCCAACAGAGCTCTGTTCGTAAATGGCCAATCTCGGCCAGAGGACGGGTCATCTGCAGAACCCCACCCTCGGGCGCAGCAGAAGATGGAGGTACAAAAGTCCCGCAGATTGACCGAGCCAGCAGCATTGTCTGAAGCTCACCCAATGAAGAGTCTCAGCAGGAGAGAGAAAGGCAAGTCAGAAGAATACATGGTGCCCCTGATCTGCATCTCCTCAGATCAGGGCCCTATGGTCCTAACCTTCACTCAACTTGCAGGCTCTCTGGCTCTACCTGTTAATAAGGTCCGAAGGCCAACCTACGGAACTCACTATACTGGGGAACGTTAGGAAGATAATCAGAGTGATTGGCCAGGTGCGTATCCTACCAGAACCCAGGATGGGGAGACACGTGGTGGACTCCCCTTCAGGCAAGAAGATTGCCCTGCACACAGTCTTGCTGCACGTGCATATCTCTGACGAACTGAGGGAAAAATTCCAAGAATTATACCCCTACTGGGTAGCTCTCTCAGAGTTCACGGATCCCAACAGTCCAACACTGCGTTCTATCAGCCTAGTRGAAGACATTTCYGCTGAGGTTATCSCTGATTGGATYATCAACACTGACCTGAAAGATTTTCTGATTTCAGATCAGTTCGCAGCCCAGTTAAAGAGCCCCTGGACTCTCACTGAGCTCCATGCATCGGCTAGTGAGGAAGAGAAACGCAGGAAAATCCCTGCTGATCAAGCTCGCCGTATCCAACAGCGCGGTGGTTCGGTGAGACCAAACAATGGTCTTGCCAAGCCGCATTAAGATTGCTTGCTGGAACTTACGAGGATTATGTGACCAAGAGAAAATGACCAGTCTATCTTCCTGCTTCAACTCTCAGAAAATTCACATCCTATGTATTCAAGAGACGAAATGGGACCAGACTATAATAGACCAACTCCAAGGGTGGTGGAGCGGCCCCCAATTCTGGGCTCCAGCTGCAGGCACAAGAGGAGGCACCAGAGTACTGTTCAACAAGAACCTTGACGTAGACATTTTAGACAACTACTCAGACCCTCAAGGCAGATTTGTATGGGTGAAATTTACAGTTGCAGAGGAAGACTGGGCAATTATGTCAGTCTATGCGCCCGTGGAGTACCGTGATCGAATTAATTTCTTCGAAAGACTCCCATCTTTTGTGCCAGACACGGAGAACCTCCTAATAGCTGCAGATTGGAACACAGTCAGGACGCCTGRCCTGGATTCCCCAGTCGCAACGAATATCAGACAAGACACCACCCTGCTCAACGACTTCATGGCCAACCACGAATTTACAGACATCTACCGACTCATGAATCCGGATTCTCCGGGATTYACAWGGTTTRGACCCCAACCCAACCCCTACCAAGTAGGTCCCAGACGCAGACTTGATTTTTTCCTAGCTAGAGGCGTGTTAGCCGAGAGATGCATACATACAGAAGTGCAGGTAGCGACCCTCTCAGATCATTACCCAGTGGTAGGTGAATTCATCGTCACGCAACATGTAGAAAGACAGCGGGGATCCTTCAAACTAAACGTCACCCACTTGCAAGACCCGGGTATCATTGAGTGGATTAATAAACAAATGCTAAGATGGCATTTAGCTAAAGATCTGTTTGATGAAGAAGAACAATGGGCGGACGCAGGATTGAGGATAATTCAATCCTCGCTGGACGTATTCTCTCAAATCAAGGCAAGTAACCGCAACTCCAAGGAATACGACATCAAGAAAAGGATCACTGAAGCGGAATCACACTTAGGCAAAGATGCCTACGCGGATTGCTATTGGACAAAAAATCAGGAAATCTTTTCTCCAAGAACTACAAAGATTAGAAACGGCAAGACAAGAGCAATGGATGGAATGACTCAAGGTTAAAGGAATTATCGGATTTGATCGCATGACTAAAATGACCTTTCGTTCACTCCTTTTAAGAAACACTAAACCCCTAATCAGAGA